GCTGCTACGACGACGACGACTACGACGACGACGACTACTACTACTCTACTACTACTACTACTACTACTACGACTACTACGACTACTACTACTACTACTACTGCTGCTACTACTACTACTACTACTACTTCTAGTGCTGCTAGTACTGCTGCTGCTACGACGACGACTACTACTACCACTACTACTACTACTACTACTACTACTTCTACTACCAGGACTACTACCAAGACCATCCCCATCACAACTGCCACCAGCACTGCGACAAAACACGACGACGACATCGGCAATAACTCCATCCACGACAACAAGGACAACCGCAACAACAGCGACAACAGCAGCAACAACAACAGCATCAACAGCAGCAGCGGCGGCTTCAACAACAGCAGCAACAGCAACAGCAACAAAGACAGCAACAGCAACAGCAACAGCAACGACAATATCAATACCAACAGCAGCAAAAACAACAACATTAGCAAACACCACCACCACCACCAGAACCAGAACCACAACCTCTACCAGAACCTCAACAACCACAGCAACCGCAACCACAACAGCATAGGCAACAGCGACCGCAGAAGCAGCAACTAGTAAAGTAACCTTGTCGGGAACCCTTAAATGACGAAAGCTTGAGAGTAAGACCACGGCAACAGCCTTGGGGCCCGCATTTTCCTGCTGGTAACACACAGGTCTAGAGCGGTTCCAAACATATGGAGCGATGCAACGCTGTGGCTCTAGATAACTTGAGAGACCAATTTTCCAGCGTGGTTTAGCGGGGATCACCGGTTGCCCCCACTCCTGCTCTTGCAATGCTTGGATTCCAAGTGCATTCAGCTAAGAAGCCTGTACACCGTAAACCCCCGAACCCTAAACCCTAAATTGAAAACTGTAGCTGAACAGTCGATGTTTTCTGGATGTCGGCCGAGCCATCTGACTCGCACGCGCGATGCTGGATGGCAGTTGACAAGCGTTCTTTCCCAAGTCTGCCTCCAGAGTAACGTGGTCTATGGGCCTTAAAGAATAGTTCGAGTATGTAGCACATGTGTTGTTGAGTGGGGGTGGTAATTATGTTATACACTATTCTACACAGTTGTATGAAGGATGTATGAAAGAAATTAAGGAATAGTCTGTCGAACTGTTAGGGCCGCTATGCAAGACCAAGGTGAATATCGTCAGCTTTTGCTCGCTGTCCTACTACGTTTGACCTGACACAAGTGTTACGGTTTGCCTCCCGGGAGCTTGAAATTAAACTGGTGTGACGGAGGCATCGGTTGATAATTCTGTTTGCGCAAGCACAAAAATCATGTGGGCTTTTCCGAGAATTGGGGACGGCAATATAGATTCAAAATAGCAGGATACTTACTGTAGGGAAAGTAACATACCCTGAATAATCATTACGAAAGCCAATGTTACTACCCATAGGCTCCGTAGTAGTTCCTTTTTGGGAGTACCGAACCCATAATATAAACCCCAAATAAGGAACTACTATGGAGCCTATGTTACCAGAGGCTAACGGCATACGAGAAAACCCTAAACCCTAACCCCTAAACCCTAAACCCTAAACCCAAATGAAGAGCGTCGCTCGGAGGTCAGCCGACAAAAACCCTAAGCCCAGCACGACGGTTGGACTTCTTATAGAAAAAATATCTACAAGAGTACTGTTAGGGTTTAGGGCCTATATCTACAAGAGTACTGTTAGGGTTTAGGGCCTATATCTACAAGAGTACTGTTATGGTTCAGGGCCTATATCTATAAGAGTACTGTTAGGGCTTAGGGTTTAGAATCTATATCCATACGGGTACTGTCAGGGCTTAGGGTTTAGAACCTATATCTATAAGGGTACTGTTAGGGTGTAGGGTTTAGAATCTATATCTATAAGGGTACTGTTAGGGTTTAGGGTCTAGACAATACCTAGAAGGGCACTGTTAGGGTTGAGGGTTTAGGGTTCAATGAGGGCTCCATCAGGGTAGTATAACAGTTCCACGAGCATACAACCCTCAATGATAGCCACAGCTTCCATCTCACCCATGAGCGTTTGTTACTTATGAACATGGGCCAAGCAGAAGATTAGAGACGATGGCTTGTGGTAAACAAGTATGGTTTCATCGCCTAGGTCCTAGGTTTTGGGGCCATGGTTTGCGAATCTGAAGCTTGCTGAGAAGATCAACTTCTTCCTTGTTCGAGTCCACCCTTCTCGACATTTCACAAGTCCCAAACCCAATTACACCGGAGACCCAAACCCGAAAGCACTAGACTAAAGGCCCAGAACCCAAAAGCCCGTCCCGCAAAGCTGAACCCTCAAGGCCCTCGTAAACCTGAATTCACTTAGCACCCCACAGCATCACCCTCGAGCCCTCACCCCTCCCCGCCAACCCCCAAACCCCGAGCCGGAGTAGTCATGCGCTGGCTCCAGCAAGCTCCCGTTCATGTAGGGGCCTTAACAATTAGAATAGGGTTTTGGGTATCATTGCATTATGATTAATTTAATAAAACCCCCCCCCCCCCAAAAAAAAAAGTAGGTGATGATGAAGGCCCGTATATTAGCCAACCGGACGGCCAAGTGACTGCCCTAATGGCAAAGATGACGGATCGTCGGGATTACGCGCGTAGGGATTACGCTTAGACCGCCCAACTGAATCCTCGGCATCGCAACTAGAACACAAGTTATGTCCGCCGTGATGATGATGTATACTCAGACCAGCACTGAAACCATTTACGGGCTTTTTGGATGATAGCAGACATCAAAATCGTGAGGGATCCTGAAGAAGAATCTTACCTACAGTCTCCATTGTAGTTCCTTTTTTGGTCTAACTAAGTCTATATTAAGGATCCTAGACTATAGGTATTGGTCTTTAGTGCCACTAGACCCTCGAAGGCATCTTGGGGAGGAGTGTTTCGTCTCGTCTTCGGCGGACTGCCTCAAAACCGGAAGCAGGCTTTTCCCTATTGCCGTTCGGCTTTGGTGATTTCGTGTTAAGGTTTCGGGCCGGGTTTAAACGGTGCGTGCAGGGCGTATAGAGTCTCTTATTTTGAGGGTTGGTACAGCAGGATTGCGTAGTTAGTCTAGTGCTTGTAGCCTGAAAAGTAAGTAAACGCTACTTCATGCCTATAAACCCTAAACCCTAAAACCCTAAACCCTAAACCCTAAAACCCTAAACCGTAGTTAGATTCCCGTCTTTCTACACTTTCTCGAAGCCCGGGTCCAGGATCAGGAGCTCCCCGGCTGCGGCTGAGAAAATAGAAGGTCCCATGAAGTACCCTAGGCTTCCAGGGACCTTCTTATTGGGTTCTTAAGGCCCTAACGAAAAGCTCCTAGGGTTTATAGGGTTTAGGGTTGTTTAGGTTTGCCCTGGGCTTCCGGGGACCTGGTTTAGGTTTATATAGGGTTCAATTGTATGGTTCAGGGTTGAGGGTTTAGGTTTAAATAGGGTTAAACGGTTTAGGGCTGTTTAGGTCTGCCCTAGGCTTCCAGGGACCTTATTTTTGGGTCCTTAAGGGGTCTTGGGCCCCTAAGGATACTGTCCTGGGAAGCCTAGGGGTAATCATGAAGAACCGGGAACAAGCAGTGCGACCTATTGTACTCATCTTGTATAATCATCTATGCAAGCATGTGTACACAGGTGGTTGTATACTTACGTATGTACATGCCAAGATAAATATGGCAGTACGAATTCCAAGTTCTAGACATCATAAACGACCGTGAACATTAATGGAGAGATGGGATGTTGCGTTCATCGTCGGTGGACTTCCACCCCCAAGCTCTAGAATCTTCTCTAGGGGCTCTAGGGTATATATGCCGCCGGGACTCCAGGGTGATCGCGGCTGCTGCTGCTGCTGCTGCTGCTGCTCCTGCTCTTGCTGTTCTTGGGATTACTGCTGCGTTTGATGTTGCTGTTGCTACTGCCGCTTCTCCTGCTACGTACTGCTGCTCGTTCCACTAGCATTCCTCTCTCAGAATCAGGCAGTGTGAAGGTGTCACTGCCGAAGTTGCTGACTGTACCGCGTGGTTATCAGATATCATTGTTGTCAACGTACTCCCTTTCATTCTCACTCGTACGAACCTGAACTGATTGTTGGGCCCTTCGCATCCTCCAAGTTTAATCCCTAAGCCCTAAACCTTTATTGCCCGCTACTTCTAAGTATGGGCCAGTGGAGGCGCTGTGTTGTTTTTTGCGCACCTGGACGTAGCACTAGGAGAAGGAGAGACTAGTATACAGATAATATACACAAATATGTTTACACATATAGTTCTATACATACATACATACATACATACATGCATGCATGCATGCATACATACATACATACATACATACATACATACATATATATACACATACATACATATGTATATATACATATTTATATTTAATATATATATATGTATATATACATACATACATTCATTTATTTACGTATTTATGTATTCATGTATTTATTTATATTATGTTTTTAGTGTAATAATGAATATGTATGTGTATATATATATATGCGTGTGTGTGTGTGGGTGGATTTTTCAATCCACTGATTATACATATATGTCTTGCTTGTGTGTGTGTGTGTATGTGTGTGTGTTTGTTTTTGTGCATGTGTATAAAAGAATATGTATATATGTATATGAAGCAAGGCCTGCAGGAGTTCACAGTTGTCTTGACACGTTGCACTTCTTGCGCGCCCAGGATGGCTCTGTTATGAGCATGTTATTTAGCTTGTACTGTAGACCGCGCCCTGCACGCGAGCCGCTGGGAGATGCTCCCGCAATATGCCGCATGTTCCTTCGCGGCACCACCGGGCCTGCAGCAGTTTGGGCAGCAAGGGGTGCAGACTGAATCAGTCGCCCCCTTGCACCTGGTGCACAGCCACGCATGGTCGGCACCGGCACTTACATGGCACTTTGGGAGACTTTTGACTTTTCTTTTCTAGTCTTGCAGAGGTACCTCTAGTCGGCTCCAGTCTAGAGGTACCCTTTGGAGTAGTGTTGGGGGGCCCGAAACTGCAACACAGGCACAGATTCCCTTGGCAGACTGGGAGTCTGCCGCGACTCTGCAAGGCCCATCTGTGACTTCGTTCCTTCCCAACCCGGCCATAAGGACCCTGCCCTCCACCGCAGCCCAGATGAATTCGTAATGCTACTTGGAGGTTCATGGGTAGTTATAAGTGGGCTTATAAGTCGCCTAAGTAAGGTTCTAAGTATAGATACCCTACTTATAACCCTACTTATAACTACCCATGAGCCTCCAAGTATTCTCCACAGAAACACAGACCTGGGAGAAAAGGAGCTAAACAAAATCCGAAGCCCTCATGAATAAACACGAAAATTTGAATCCGAAACCCTGAATCCTAAACCCTTCATCCGAAACCCTAAACCCTAAAAACCCTTAATCCGAAACCCTAAACCCTTCATCCTAACCCCTAAACCCTTCATCCGAAAGCCCAAACCCTAAACCCTTCATGCGAAACCCTAAACCCTAAACCCTTCATCCGAAACCCAAAACCCTAAACCTTTCATCCGAAAGCCTACAATCCTTAGGGGCTGAGTAGGTAACCTTTAACCTTGTGGACCTTATAAAATCCTACCATAATTGAAAGGTTAACCTTTTTTGGGGCTAGGGTACTCAGCCCCTAAGAATCAGGCCGTCAATTTGTTTGCTGCTACCAGGCGCGGCCTCATCAGAGCCAGTCTCAAGAGCCGTAGTCATGCCATCTCGGCCGGGCCATTGTCCCTTGACGTCGGGTCGGGTATTTTGGGTTCTTGAAGTTTTTGATTTGTTGTTTTTTTCGCTGGGGTTTTAGGTCGGAGTTTTCTGTTTTCGGTTGTTTGGGCTTTAGGCTTAGGGTTTTAGGGTTCAGGGTTTAGGGTTAAGGGGTTTGCCCTTCGCGAAATAGCGCGGAGGCGACAAGGCTGTGTCGAATGCATTCCAGGGCAGGGCGTGGCGGGCGGGGGGGGGAGGCAGGCAACAGGGCGGGGGGTTGGCAGTGCAGACGGGGCAGGGACGGCGGGAAGTGCAGCCCCTCAGCCAGAACGGCTACGCAGGTTTTTGCTATGAGTCATGCGTTTGCCTGCACATCATCTGTCATTTCTTGCAGGTGGAATGTCGCCATTCCGGATTCCAGACCCTCATGGACTGCACGGGTAAGCTGTATTTGTAGGTTTGTAGGTTAGGCAGAGCCGGTAAGGCTCTTTTTTGAAACCTGCACCCGAAGATCCGATATCCGTAAGCCTTAAACTCCTAGGGTTTAGGGTTTAAGGACCCCACAGTCATCATGAACATGAGAATCCTGCTCCACAACCTCCTAACCTCAAGCCCTAAAGCCACGACAGACCCTAAACTGTATGTAGACCCTGTGCCACCTTGAACCTGGTACATAACCGTGAGTGAAGCCCCAGAATCACCACAACCCCATACAAGCCGACCGGGACGATCCCATAATCGCAGCAATACAGAATCCTAAAAACCTGGACGCACTCTACGAGCCCTAGCTTGAATTTCAAGTCCGGGCGCGGATCTATAAGCGCGGTAGAGGTATGATTGGCCAACTATGATTTTTCTTCGAATATTCTAAGCATCATTATTGTTATCATGAGCGTTAGCCTATTTCTCAGGCGTGAAACCCTCAAACCGATGCTGAAACCTGAAGTCCATGTTACCCCCAAGCATCCCCAGGCAACTATGGAACTTGGGGGCATCCAGAGCTTTGCAACCGCCCCTGCGTGCACATGCAGAAGACAAGTCAATGTCCTTCTGGCCACTCGTGGCGTAATTCAGATATGTACATAATGACGTACATCCATCCATCCATCCATCCAACCATCCATCCATGCCTGCATGCATGCATATATGCATACGCACACAACACATATTTATATACATATACGCAAAGATGCAGACATGTGCAGGTATGTCTACACCCATACATATGTTATTGTATATTATCTGTTTCATGTTGTGTATATGGGTTGTTAGTCTTGCTGCTATTGTTGATTGACTATTATTATTGTGAATTCTGAATACACGTGTGTTCCAATATGTGTGTTCTCGTTTTATTTACAATGTACGCATGTATATGTACATAGTTTTAGTACGTGTACAGTGTACATGTATAAGAGAAACTGTCAAATATGTTGCATTCGTGCATGTATGTCTATGTGTATATATATATATGTATATACATATATATATATATAAATATTCATTTGTTTATTCATTTGTTCATTTTCTAGAGTGCTATCATTAACTATGGTTGCTGACAGTTTTTGTTTGCATATTCTTGATAAACTCGTTTTATGTACGTTTGTTATAAGACTAGACTCTATGTAAACTCTTTTATTGTTGGACGTCGTGATGTGTATGTTTGGTATTGTGTTTTGCAAGGCTGTCAGCTATCATGCCCTGCCATGTCAAATTGTTGCTCCTTAAACTATGAACTATCTTGTGTCATAGAAATTTGTGTTTCGTTATCAATGGCTGTATAGTAACTTGTGTGTTTGTATTGGTTTTATGTCTTATCAGAGCATATCACTTCATTTGAATTTACATTCTGTTGTATGGTAAGAAACTAGGTTACATTGTACTATGTTACACCGCTGATCAATGTCTATATGTATTTATATTTATACACTATGGCATATATTCTCATTATGTGTCATTGTGTTATATTCTGTATACCATTTTATATTAAACCATAATCTATCTTTTCCAGGTACGATGCACAACGACATCATTAATTGGTGATTTCACGCTGCTGTTGCTTCTTCTAGTCCCTTCTTTCTGTAAGAAAGCTCGGCCTATGCCACGAAATAAAAGACAACAACTCACGAACCACAGATCGGAAATTCTGCAAGCCACGAAATCACCAAACGAAGATGAACGACACGTCAACGCTGCTACTTCAGGGTAGCCCAAGATGGTACCGAAAGCATAATATGAAATGGGTCGCATCAATGAGTTCAGACCCTGGTCCTTCCACCCCAACTTGGGATTCCCAAGCCCCATGATGCCGGGCGTCCCTTTCCTCCTCGGTCGCTCGCTTGTTTCTTTCATCCGAAACTCGCACATACATCAATCCGACGAAGGCTGTTGTTTTCCTGGCTTTGGCAGTAGTAGCCACAGTTGGATGACTCCAGACGTCCAGTGCATGTGCTTGCAGCTAGCATGTAGTGACAAGAGGTGCAACTACACTCTTTCAACCGGTACGAGCAAGAGGAAGTTGACAGTTGTCACAGGCTCGGAAACCAAGGCACTGCGAAGCCTTAAACCAGACTTCATTTGAGGAGTCGAACCGAATGACCCGGATCCCTGCAATTATGAACCACTTAAGGTTTTGAGGCGTAGCATGCTGCTTGGCTGATGATGGTCCGGAGATCTCTAGACATTCAACCCAAGGACAAAGATGCGAGCATTGCCACTTGCCACATGTGGCACCGGTCGCGAAAATGGACAAGCTGCAGCGCACTCTGATTCAGCAACTGAGCAGGGATGCAGTCATTGCCGCTCGGCACTACATTCTGGTGTCTTTGATCCTTTCTTCGGTCTGCCTAGACAAGGCAGACGCAGAAGCGTTCGCAGCTGCCTATAGATTTGTGATATGTTTCATTGCAGACAGGGGCTTTAGAGTTTTATTAGAACAGACCTCTGTTCGTCATCCTTCATCACGGGTGCATTGCACCTGCTGATGAGGAAGATACCAGTAGCGGTTGGACTTGGGAAGCTGTTGTGACGGTGCTTCATTTTGAAAAACTTCCGCAATGTCTCTGGCAAAGGCGACAACATGTGCCAGTTGCCTTGGGACCTTCGAGCACAAGTCGGAAGTCTAGGTTTTGAGGTTTTGGGGTTTTGGGTTTAGGGTAAGTCATTGTAGTGCTTGATCCCCCTGCCTAGCTAGCAGTCGGCGCTTCGAAGGCAATCCTTCTGCCGCAGATTCGGCAGAGGGCAGCAGCTGTTGGGCTGCTGACCCACATGCTGGACCGCAGACTGCAAAGCTTAATATTGTAGTAGCGACAAAACAATCATAGTTTTCAATCCATGCAATGAAGTGCTGTAAAGTTAGGCTCGGTTGGTTGAAGGCTTGATGTTCACTGCCTCGGCAGTTGAAGAACCAATGAAGCAATGTCGGAATAGATCTCAGGATCCCTCCAGCAAACCTAAACCTTAGTTTGTTGAACGTGCTCTCCCCGATGATGCGTCGTATGTTTACTCGGATCACATCGAGAACTCCGGCTTCCGTGGCATGTGTCTTAATATTAAGGCCCCTATAATATAAGGTATATACTCCTTAATTCCCTTATAGATCCCTTTAAGTCCCCTATTGTGCCGCTCCGGGGTCTATCGTTCTGGTGCCACGTGTTTAAGACATTGGACTGAATATAGAGGTCTGAACATTTAGAAATCGTATGCCTTTATAGCGCCGGGTAGACAAAATGTACCATACTGTACTGTACCCCAGCGCTTTGGGTGTTATCGTGGAGATAGTGGCCAGTAGTCAAGTAGATAGATGTACGCAGTAAGTAGCGAATTTTATAAGCAGTACATCTCAAAAACAGCAGCTCCAAGGCTTGTGTTTGTTCATTTTTGTGTTTTTTGTTTATGGTTCCTTATATGGGATCCACATGTCTTCTTACCTTGTCAGGGGACTAGTAGCATTAATAAGTAGTAACTAGCGAGCAGCATGTAGTAATCAGCAAGAAGTAGCTGGCAGGTAGTAGGTAGCACTTGCAAGAGGCGCTTGGTAGCAAGCAGCGGGCTGCAGGTAGAAGGTGGCAGGTGGCACGTGGCGGTGGTGGTGGTGGTAGTGGTAGTGGTAGTGGTAGTGGTAGTGGTAGTGGTCGTGGTCGTGGTAGTGGTCGTGGTGGTAGTGGTGGTGGTGGTGGTGGTGGTGGTAGTGGTATTGGTAGTGGTCGTCGTCGTAGTAGTAGT